CTCCGTACCTCTTGTTCAAACACAAGAACAGAAATTGCTGGAAAAGCTCAGCAGGTCTGGCAGCATCTGTAGAGAGAGAAACCAGAGTTAACGTTTCGGGTCCAGTGACCCTTCCTCGGAAACGAATGACCAGGCACTGATCCCTGAAGATTTTGGATAAGAGTCAACTCCTGAAGAGAGATTGTGACGGCCTGCTTGAGACGTTGGTGGTGACCCTGGTGGCTGTGATGCTGCCAATAAATCGTCACCTAAACATTTTGTTTTTTTTTTCCGCTCTTTAATGTTTCTTTTGTTCTGCCATTTCTTTTTGTATTTCAGTTTGCTTGATGATTGTCAAACACATTTAACTTCAGCCCCTGGCTGAAACTGAGGTTGATTTCTTAAATAACCTTTGGAATGAAATGAAATGTAACTTCAGGTCACCCTCCTTTAACTAGGTGCAGTTTTCTTTCAGAGAATGTTGTTTCTGTGAAGAAACTTTGGCCATTTTACTGCATTAAAGGTGATAGATGAAGGCAAGGTGTTGTGTACTGACACCGTGAACACATTTCTGACAAATGCGTCTACATTTTAACAAGAATACCTGAGGTCAAGCTTGCAAATATATGCCTAACATATTATACATATTAAGCAAGGGATTTTTAAGCCGTGTGGCCAATGACAGTGCCTTCTAATAATTTTAAGAGATATTGGATGAAATTCTTGAAAGGTTGCATCACAGCCTTATTGTCCTATAGTTGAGAGTGAATGTTGTTTAAAGACAGCTTTATAAAAGCACCACTTCTACAAATATCCAGACTCTCCAACACTGACACTTAGTAGCAACAGTGTGTACCTTCTGCACGATGCACAGCAGAAATTCACCAAAGATCCTCAGACAGCATCTTCCAAACCCACCACCACTTCCATCTAGAAGGACAAGGGCAGCAGATACATGGGAACACCACCACGTCCAAGTTCCCCTCCAAGCCACTCACCATCCTGACTTGGAAGTATATCACCGTTCCTTCACTGTCACTGGGTCAAAATCCTGGAATTCCCTCCCTAATGGCATTGTGGGTCTACCTGCAGCAAATGGACTGCAGTGGTTCAAGAAGGCAGCTCACCCCGACCTTCTCAAGGACCACCAGGGATGGGCAATAAATGCTGTTCCAGCCAACGACATCCACATTCCACAAGTGAATAAAAAGAAATTAAAATATGAAACTGGTCAGTTAGCAATCCAATAGAAAGTAACAATTACATTTTTCCAGGCTTACCCCCTTCTTTCATTCCAGATTCCAAACCTGTTGAAAATTCTTGGCAGCACTGCAATTGATGGGTTCCTTCATTCAAATAGGATAAAAATCTTTCTGAAAGCTGCTTCTCAGGAAAGCAAATTACATTGCTGTGGGTCTGGAGTAAAACGTAGGCCAGAACAGGTAAAGATGGTAGATTTCCTTCCCTAAAGGACATTAGTAAACCAGATGGGTTTTATCTCCATAAATTAACAATTGTTGTATGGTTACCCTTAGAATCTTTATTCCAGAATTTTATTGGATTCAGATTCTACCATCAGCCACAGACAGGATTCAAACCTGGGTCCCCAAGGCACTGCCTGAGTTTTATAGTCTAGTGACAATAGCACTAGGCAGTCACTCCCCCTGGACTATTTGAACTATTGAATGCCCTCATGTCAATATCACACCTGGACATTTTATTGTATATCAATGTCAACCTCTGTGCAAACATGTTTTTGCCAAGAGCAGAGTAGACCTCCATCAGGATCAATATAGTTACAAAATCAGTTCAAGGCACATGTTCTTGATGATGATAACGTTTTGAAGCAGCTACACCTCAAATGCAAGGAAATCAATGCACATTTTCATGTGTGAATTCTTACTGTGATAATATTTTTGAGAATTTGCATACCAAATGTTTTCACTCTATTAAGCCTTTTTACAGTGTCAGGTTGACCAGTCCCACTGAGTTTCAGTGAATAGTTTAAGAGCATTGGGGCTTCTATTTGGAAATCCGAGATACCATACTAACCAGTTATAGTAAAGCACATCTAAGGGTCATTGCAGGAGTTAAATAACCTTATTTGATGATCTACATCTCATGCTCTGCTATTGAGTAAAATGGAATGAATTTTAGATATGAATAAGTTATTAAGTAAAGTGACAATTAAAGCAGCAGTCAATCCTGTCTCATGGAGACCTAAAATTACTATAAGCTGCTCTGCTGGTTCCTCATAAGTTATGTAATAATTGTAAGTCATGCTGTCTCTAATCAATAGGTGTCATGAAATATCACGCATGCATTTCAAATACATACTGTAGGGATTTCTTCAGTCCTTACATTAGCTATAAGATTACAAAGAGAGTGTTTATACCTATGAATCTCTATCAGCAATTAAATCAGAGCACTTCAAAATACCATTCTGCAGTTGACTTATGACACACAATGATATATTTGAATATGGTCATTATCAGTTGATTTTATCCTTTGATCATTTATGACAGACTGATTCTCCTGGAGGTATATTTCAAAAAATAATGTATTTCGATTTATATCGCATTGTCACAGTAAACAGTGAAGGAATTCAAAATGACTCTCCAGGTTAACTTGAGGCAAATCTAAATTTGCTGCATTTTAAACAGCCAGTCTGATATCCATATTAACATACTGCAGCAACTCACTCACATCCCTCTACAAAAATCCATTGGATTTCACAGTAAGATGTTCCCAGTCCTTCACTTGTGAAACAACCCAGCTACGTGGCTCAAAAGCTTTGTAACTTTTCCATGTCAAAGTTCAAAGTTGTTTTCTTACTAAATAGTTCCCTTCCCTTTCTGTTGCACCTTATGATGTCAAAATGCTTTGCAATGATGGACCGCCTTTTCAAGTGCACTCGGCAAATTGCACTGTGTATAATTTGTTGGATCACTCAGATTATTTTCCTGTCTCTGTCACCTCCTTCAGCCCTTTGTAACAACAATGTTCATTTATATAATGTCTTGAAACATGATAAAACGTCCCAAGGGCTTCACAAGAGTGTTAGCAAAGAAAAATTGACTCTATGCAACTTAAGGATGTGTTAGAACATGTAGGCAAAGTCTTGTTCAAAAATGTAGGAATTAAAGAGTGTCGTTCAAGACAAAAAAATGAGATTGAGATATGTGGAGATTCAGGGAGACAATTTCAAAGCTTGGCGATTATTGAACATGCAGCGCTGCAGTTAAAATCAGGGCTGCACCAAAGATCACAACTGGAAGTAGTACAGATATTTCAAAATGTTGCAGGCTGGTGCAGATTACATAGATGGGGAGGGGAGACACCATGGACAGATTTGAAAGTAAGAATGGTAATTTTGAAATGGCAGGAGATGGTGAATTAGTAGCAATGGACCAGCAATCCAGAAGCCCAAGGTACCTTGCGTCTCTGGCTTCGAATCTGATCATGGAACCTGGTGGAGTTTAAGTTCCGTAAACAGATCGAGAATATAGAACTAATGTCTGTAATAGTGAATAAATACCGGCAACTGCAGATGCTGTAAATCAGGAACAAAAACAAAGTTGCTGGAAAAGCTCAGCAGGTCTGGCAGCATCTGTGAAGAAAAAAACAGAGTTAACATTTTGGGTCAGTTCTGAGGAAGGGTCACCAGACCCGAAACGATAACTCTGTTTTTTCCTTCACAGATGTTGTCAGATCTGCTGAGCTTTTCCAGCAACTCTGTTTTTGTGTCTGTAATAGTGACCCTGAAACTACCATCAGTTGTTGTAAATGTGCATCTGATTCACGAGTGTCTTTTAGATGGGGAAATCTGCCATCCCTACCTGGTTTGGCCTACATGTGACTGCAGACCCACAGCAATGTGGCCGTCTCATGGACAAATTCAACCGAGGAATCTGTTTCCAGGCGATTACAACTCTATGAATCTATGACTTTATGACTCTCAACTGCATTTTAAAAGGCCTAGTTCAATGGCAATTAAAGATGGGCAACAAATGCTGGCCGGGCTTATGACACCCACATTCCACTTAAGAATATTTTAAAAAGCTGAGCTGTTGTATAAACAAGAACCATTGGAAGTTAGTGAACACTGCAGGTGATGGATTAACAGCACTTGGTGTGAGTTTGGATTTTGGACAAGCTGACGTTTATGAATGTAGAATACAGCAAGTCAGTTGAAATTACAATTGAAATTACTGTCTGTGCAGTGTTTTCACCATGACCATGACGAATGGGGCAATATTGTTGCAGTGTCTCATAGGAGATAATGTATCAACTGGCATATTCCCAGTTGCTGAATAAGGTGCTCCATAAACAACAGCCAGGTTTCACTTTGCTAATATCTGTCAACTTGCATCTGAAAATTTTGTGACAATTTTAATCCTTTTACAGCAGTTGGAACTATCAAGTAATCTCTGCAGTTCATCGTTCCAATTGAAATCCATGTCACACATAGAAAGCAAGGATGACGTACAGTTATAGTCATTTTCACAACTTCATGACATCCAAAATGATTTAGAACCAATGTAGTACTTTGGAAGTCTAGTCTCTGATAGAACATAGCAGCCAATGTGTGCATTGCAAGCCCCTACAAATAACTATGTGATCTGATGGCCAGACAATTTTTGGGCTGTTTGAGACACCATTGGCCAGAACACTTGAGGATTACTCCCCTTTTCTTCTTTCAAAGTGTGACAGGGGATCATTTTCATTTAACTGAGAGGGCAGGTGGGTAATATAAGGTCTAATATCTTATCTGAAGACGTTACCACTGACTGTGCAGCACTCCCTTGGTATTCGCATTGGGAACATCAGCCCAGGTTACATGTTCTGATCTCTGGTTTAGCCTTGCAACTCAAGATTGGGGAAGTGTAACCAACTGAGCTCCAGTTGACAATGTGTGGAAACATATTGCATTGTACAGAAAAAAATAGAAATTAATCAGATTTTTGTGAACAGAGCTTTCAGTATCTAAAGTGATTTTTTTTCTCCTTTGTCCTATACAGTATGCAGGATGGCTGGTGCTGTGGGTGGCCTGGAACGCATTCATCATTTGCTTCTATCTAGAAGTTGGGCAGTTGTCACGGGTAATTATGTTCCTTATGATCCAAAGCGATGCTTCTTATGATGTACTTAATCAAAGTATGCAACCCAAAGCTCATTTATGAGCTTTCTCCTTCTTTAGTTTCCTAAATATAGAGATGAAATGCTTCTGAATTCACGTCAAAATGCTTTTAGCTTTACATTTTTGCATAACTTTGATTCTCTGCTTTGAATAGAGAAAATAATTAGACACAAAGTCAGTTTTCTGAAACCAGACTTCAAACTGGGGCAGGAACAGAATATCTCAGTGATAGAGGACTTTGTATTGACTTTGGTGAAGGTTGCTAAGGATTAGCTGGCCATTCAAGAAATTGGTTTTTGTGGAGGTGAATGTGAGAATGAGGAACTGGGACTGGAGGGAGTGAGGAGACATAATGTTCTGGAGAATATTGTTGCTGGGTCAAAGCCTTTGAATTCTCAACCTCACAGCACTGCAGGAGCATCTCCACCAACTACACAGACTGCTCTGATTCATAAAGGTTCACCATCACCTTCTCAAAGGCAACAAGAGAGAGATGTGCAATAAATCACAGCCTTGCATTGCAAGGAATGGGGAAAGTAAAGGTCGACGATGGCAGCCTGAGCAGTGGAAGAGATGAGGATGGAAAAGCAAGATCAGTGTTCAATAAAACATCTAACTTATGTTCTGCAGGGCTCAAGTTGAGTTAGCAGTCAGTGGTTTAGTGGAGTTTGCAACAAGGGGGCCTATAAAGTATGGGTGAGAATCGAGCAGAATCGCCAGTGTTGATCTAAAAGAAGGATTGTCCAGGGCTTGACATTGGTCAAACAATAATATTGTAGAATAATAACCCAGAAGTGGGCACCATGGTCAGCATAGACCAGTTTGGGCCGAAAGGCCTGTTTCCATGTTGTATTTCTCTATGACTCTGTGACTCTAAGTTGTCAAGGTGCCAAATTTTGGTATCACGTGCGTAGGTGTGGAAGCTGATCACAGCCCTTATATGTCACACAGTGTGAAGGAGAACAGAAAGGGATTGCCAGGAGCCATCATACTAATGTAATGACTTGCTGACTCCATGTTTCTAACTCTCCAGTTATATTTCTACTGCAGGAATGAAATAGCCCTCATCAAAGTCCCATAGTCCCTGGGTCACAAGCCCTCCTCCACCGTATCTCCTTCACCTATGGTCTGTCAATAACAAAACAGATCCTGCCTCATGCAGCAGGGAATGGGGAAAATGGACACCCAAATCACATAATTCAAGATCAACAAGAACTTGCATATAAATAGTGTATTTAATGTGTAGTGAAACACTGGTGCTACCATAGGCTCTGTCCCCCTCTGTAAAATGGTACCTCATCCCCTCTGCAAAAGCAGTATGTATCCTACCTGGCTTTTGTGCTTCGGTGAAGGAGATTGCAGGAACATTACTGAGGGAGGAGGACATCACAATGACAGGAACTTGCATTTACATGATGCCCTCAGAGCCATAAAATGTCGTAAGCTTTTCCTTAGGAATATTAACAAACAAATGTTGACACTGTGCCATGTAGGAAGAGATTGGCATGGATGATCACAAGCTTAGACATAGAATTTGGCCTTAAAGGTACACTTCAGGTTAAGCCATTTAGGATGTGGAGGTGCTGGTGTTGGACTAGAGTGGACAAGGTCAAAAATCACACAACACCAGGTTATAGTCCAACAGGTTTATTTGAAGATACAAGCTTTCTGAGTCTCGCTGTTTCTTCAGGTGACACCTGAAGGCTGGGACATTTCTCACAGGAGTGTAGGAGATTGAGAGGTAACCTTGTAGAGGTTTATAAAGTCATGAGGGGTATAAATAAGGTGAATGGGAGGTGTCTTTTCACTAGGGTGTGGGATTTCAAGACTGGGGGCATATTTTTAAGGTGGAAGGAGCGAGGTAGAGGGTGGTTCATGTATGCAATGAACTTCCAGTGGAAATGGTTGATGTGGGTACAGTTACAACATCTAAAAGACATTTGGATAAGTACACGAATAAAAAATATTTGTAGAGATATGGGCCAAATGCAGGCAGGTGGGGCCAGTTTAGTTTGGGATTATGGTTGACATGGACTGATTGGACCAAAGGGTCTGGTCTGTGCTGTAAGATTCTATGACTTAAAGGCAAGTGGAAATCTGGAACCCTCTACAAAGTTCTTGAGGTTGGAGCTCCATTGAAAAACATCATAACTGAGATTGGTAGGTTTTTGCTGGATAAGACTATTACTGGATAGGTGATCACATAGTGGTATTGTCATTGGGCTAATAATCTAGAGACTCAGGTAATGTTCTGGAGACCTGGGTTTCAATCTCATCACATTAGATGATTTGAATTTTAAATTCAGTAAAGATCTGGAGTGAAAGGTTTAATGAAACCATTGTTGTAAAAACCCATCTGGTTCCCTAATGCCCTCGAGGGAAGGAAACCCGCCATCCTTATCCGGCCTGATCTATATGTGACTCCAGACCCATAATGATGGGTCATACTGTAAACCCTTCTCCAGTAAATCGGGATGGGCAGAAATGCTGACTCTGCCAAAGATGCCGACATCCCACTAATTACTATTTTAATAAAAAAAACAAGGACAGGTAGACAGGGAGTTAAGATACAGAGGCCAAATGACATTCTCCTGAACCCGGTAATTGTTTAACTCTGAAATTTATGCTGCCTTTGCACAGTCATTATGTGATAATCCTGCTTTTAAGTTGATTTCTGTTTGAGTAAAACCAACTGAGGAATTTCCTCTCCTGGCTGGTTATTTGCTAGACGTTGCCCCAAGGGAAGTTCAGTGGAAGGGCAATGTTGGCCAAACTGCAGAACAGGTGAGTGGTTCATGAACTCATTATGTTCATGTTCATGAACCAATACACATGGCTTTGGATGAAAAGCCCCATTTGCAGGCAGTACATCTGCACTTCCAGAAAATTGTTGCTTACGATGGTGCTTCATCAATGTCATCATGGTTTACTGTGCTCAAGTAAGTGTGATACTCACTGCAATTTATCACCTTGCTGCGTTTGTACAGCTTGATATGACAGGCCCCCTAGATCAAACTATTATTTACTGTGAAGTCCTGTATTTACTGGAGAAAGGTTGACCTGAAGGATTTGAGTCTCATTTCAAACTGGTATCCACTTCCTGTCACCAGTGGCACTAATTCAGTTGAAGCAGCAAGTGGCCAAAGCATTTTTGATGTGCAACTTGCTCACAATTTACCGTGAAATGACAGCACAGAAAGAGGCCATTCAGCCTAACAGCTCCACAAAAACCTCCTCCAACGTTGCTACAAACATATCCATCTATTCCCTCAAAACAAAAACAGAGAGAGTGCAGGAGAAACTCAATAGATCTGGTAGCATTGGTGGAGAGGCAAACAGAGTTAATGTTACAGAGTTAGGTTAGGATTAGTTTAATTTGGCAACATGTTCAGCATAACATGATGGGCTGAAGGGCCCGTTCCTGTGCTGTATTATTCTATGTTCTATGTTCTAGTTAATATTTTAGGGTAGCACGGTGGCTCAGTGGTGAGCACTGCTGCCTCGTAGTGCCAGGGTTTGATTCTACCTTTGGGCAACTTTCTGTGTGGAGTTTGCACATTCTCCCCGTGTCTGTGTGGGTTTCCTCCTGGTGCTCCAGTTTCCTCCCACAGTCCAAAGATGTGCAGGTTTGGTGGATTGGCCATGGGAAATTACCCCATAGTGTCCAGGAATGTGCAGGCTGGGTGAATTATGGAAAATGCAAGGTTATACTGATACAGTAAGGGGTGGGTCTGGGTGGGATGCTCTTTGAACAGTCAGTTTGGGCTCAATGTGCCAAATGGCCTGCTTCCACACTATAGGGATTCTATGATTCTAAAGTTTTGTGTCCAGACATCCTTTTTTAGAACTGAAATCAGCTGAAAAATAGTGGTATTTGTGCTGATGTTGAGGGGTGTGATTGGAAGGGTATTCGGTGGGAAAGGATTGAGTTGAATAGATGGAGACGGTGCTCAGAGACAGAAGGAAAGAGAAGCAAACAAGCGATTGCTGATGATAAGTATGGAGAGAGATAAATGCTGAATGGGTATTAATGGGAAGTGTGACTAGATGAAAATGGGTTGGCTGTGCTGAGAGCAACTCATTTGGAACAGGACCTACAGGTTTGGGTAATGAATTTGGAGGAGAGTGTTCATACTCTAAAATTGTTAAACTCAATGCTGAGTCATGAAGGCTGTTAGATACTTAAGAAGAAGATGAGGGAGTACTGCAGCAAGCCCAAGATAGAGATGTTTGCCAGGGAACACTGTAGTGTGTTGGAGTGGCAAGCAGCCAGAAACTTATGGTGATTCTTGAGGACAGAATGCAGAGGTCCCACAAAGCAGTTGCACAGTCTGAGATTTGTCTCCCCAGGATAGAGGAGTCCACACATTGTGAACAGCAAATAAAGTAGACTAGATTGAGTGAAGTGCAGATAAACGCTGGAAGGTGAGTCTAGAACCTTAGATAGCGAGGAGGGAAGAGGTAAAAGGACAAGTGTAACACCTTCTGAGATTGCATGGGAAGGTGTCATGGGGATATGGAGAGGCATTGGGAATGGAGGAGGAGTGGACCAGAGTGTTCTGGAGGGAACAGTTCCCCGCAGAATGCTGACAATGGAGGGGAGGGGAATATGTGTCTCGTGGTGGCATCTCACTGGAAGTGGTGGAAATGGAGGCTAATGAACTTTTGGATGTGGATGCTGGTGGGATAGAATGTGAGGACCATGGAACCCAGTCGGTGTTGTGGGAGGGAGGAAAAGGGGTGAGGGTGGATGTCCAAGAGATGGCTTGAGAGTCCTGTAAACCATGGTTCTGGGGAATCTTTTGTTGAGGGAAGAGGTGGACATTTCTGAGACCCCCACCCTGTATGTGATGGAGATGGAGAAACTGGGAGAATGGAATAGAGCCTTTACAGGAAACAAGGTATGAGGATATATAGTCCACATAACTGTGGGAGTTGGTGAGTTGTAGTGGATATTGGAGCAAATGGATACAGAGATGTTCAGGAAAGGTTGTGAGGAGTCAGACATGGACCAGATAAAGGTGAGGGCAGGGTGGAAACTGGATGCGAAATTGATAAAGCTTTCCAATTCCAGACAGGAGAGGGAAGCAACACCGATGATATAACTGATGTACTAGAGAAAGAGTTGTGGGGAGGGACCCAAGTAGGATTGGAACAAGGAATGTTCCATGTACCACACAAAGAAACAGGTATAACTGGGCCCCATGTGCATACCCATGGCCACCCCTTTGACCTGAAGAAAGTGAGAGGAGTTGAAGGAGAAGTTGTTCAGA